TCTGTACCTGGAAGAGGAGGATGGCCAAATCTGTAGAGACCCTTATATCTGGATAAGTCAACTGACTTAGACCTGCAAAACAACCATACCTTTGTTGACTGTGCTTTGCCTGGTAATCTCCCATAACTGCCCCCCCCCCCCCCCATGCGGCCCTAACATCTCTTGTCTTCAGCTGGAGATGGAATTTAAGGTAGTGGCTTGGGCTATGTGGGGGAGTTACTCAGTTTTCCTGAGTATTTCCCATGTATACAGGAGGTATACATATGATTAATCTTTTATTACAGGGAGTGTCTCAGCCAAGAACCTTAGAAGGGTAGAGGGAAAATTATTTTTCCTCCCCTGCAGTCTTATGTGAATACAGAGGAGGAACACACTCAGCCTGGAGAGATCAGGATAAAGACTGCCAGAGGAGGTGATCCTTAAGTTGAGTCTTGAAGGACCTAAACAAGCAGGGATTGGAAAGGCAGGGCAGTCCAGATGGAGGAAACATATTTAAAGATATAATTGTGGGAGAAATAACAAACACTGGACACTGCAATGGGCACAGGCCTGAGGAGATAGAGAAGAGTTAGATTAGGAAGGATCTTATAACCATGCTAAGATGTTTGACTTTTACCTTGAAGACGATGAAGAGTCACTGAAGTGCGTTAAGCGGGGTCCTGGCAAATGAACAGAATCGGGTTTGTGATTTGTACAAAGGTTGAGGGGACTGACGGGAAGTGTTTAAAGTTGTTTTACAAAAACTTTTTTTTTCCGTCGGACAATGTGGCCTGATTGATTGTAGGAGGGCTACTTACGTATGGGTGGATGGAAATGTGCATGAGAGAATGCACATTCCTTCCCCTTTTCCCCGGCACCAGGGCTGTTCCGGGGAATGATGGGCGTGGCCTGACAGTGGGCTGGCAGGACCCTTCCCACCTGAGGAAGGAGCTCATATACAGTGGCAGCCCCCAAGTCTTGTGATTGGACTGGGACCATGCTGTATCCCTGTGAACCACAGGTAGGAATTGAACAGTACAAGTGAGGCTTTTAGCCTTGGCTGTGATTGGGACAGGCTTGATGGCTCCCACGGGAAAGACAGAAAAGGGACCTAACATGTGGAGAAAGAAAGGGAGCCAAGATGGGAGGAAACTACGGAGAATGCCTGCAAATATTTGTTCCTAGAAGAATGGCAACTGCAAAAGAGCCACTTAACAAATGAATGGAATTATGTATGTTCTTACATTTTCCATAACAATTTCATTTTCCTTCTCCTTTAGATTCTAGTAAAGCTCATGGTGAAAATTCTAGACTGGCTTGGCCCCGGTAAAGGAAGTCCAGGAAGCTTTTTTTTTTTTTTCCTTTTTCTGTCTTTCTCTCCCCATCCCCCACTTTTTTGTATAATCTACGTTAAAAGGGAAATGAATTACCCTGGGGAACCAAGAGAAACCAGAGTGAAAATCTGAGGTGACCTTCAAGGGGACAAAGTTTGAGTTGGGTTTACTTGGCCACCTGCCTCTGTCAACATGGAAGTTCTTCTTCCAGGGGTATGATCTGCTCCTGACTATTAAAGCTCCATATTTTAATAGGAGGCTGTTTCATGCCAAAACATGGACAGCAGCTGTACTTTTAAAAGAAATCCTAAATCCTCTAAAAGACATCCCATCCCTGGGATCCAGATTTTGTACATAGACACTATATTTAATGATATTTAAGCCTCTAATCCCCCTTCCACACTCACACAAACTGGTAATCAGGGCAGAAGTCACACTATTTCTTTGTTAAAGGTGTCTACACAACACGATTAAGTTCTGTTTGCTATCTTTCAGAACCGCACTTTAACCAGATTAAAACATTGTTAACTTCACCAACATGATTGTCAATTAAAATTATTAGAGTACTGACAAAGGAGCATTAATACCATCTATCAAATTATCAGTAATCAAATTTAGGTTCAATTATTCCACTTCTGATCACTGCTATATTGTTTCATCTCAGGGAAAAATATTAAGCCTTTGACAGGTTTTACTGATCCATCATTACCCTCTGATTCCATGGATCCATTTATGGGCCAACTTGTAAAATCTCAACCTGAATTCTTAGCTGTGAATGCTTTTTCAAATTCTGTTCCTTGGTATATTGCCAGAATAGGAGATTAAAAAACAGCTATTTCAAATACTAATTTTAAGTAGGGTGAAATGGCTTTATTTTCGACCTTTTTAATACATCTCTGTCCTATGACTCAGTTATAAGGTGAATTTCATGAAAACCCTTTGGCCATTACAAAAAGGAATGCACACTATCTTTCCTATGTGAAGCCATTCATTCATTCATTCATAAATACTTGTTGCATATCTACTATGTGACAGACTTGATAAGTAATAGACACTAGAGATGTACCATTCAACCAGACAAGATTCTGTTCTTTTTTCCTTTTTTTTTTCTTTTTAAAGATTTTAGTTATTTATTTGACAGAGAGAGAGAGGGAACCCCAGCAGGGGGAGTGGGAGAGGGAGAAGCAGGCTTCCCGCTGAGCAGGGAGCCCAGTGTGGGGCTCCATCCCAGGACCCCCGGATCATGACCCGAGCCGAAGGCAGACCCCCAGCGACTGAGCCACCCAGGCACCCCAAGATTCTGTTCTTATGGAGTTCACATTCTAGTGGGAATAGAGACAGATATATATGTCAGGTGGTGCTATGTGCTGAGAAATGAGTAGCTAGAGAGTGGGGGGGAGGCATGGTTTGCAGGTTGACATAGGATAGTCAGGAAAGGTGACATGAAGGAAAAGGGAGGCAGCATGTGGTTAGCTGAAAGCCCTCCAGACAGAGGGACAAGCAAAGGCTTCACTGGTAAGTGCTTGGTATGTTGGCAGGAGTCCAGTGTGGGGAACAGCCTGAGAAGAAGCGAGGTGGGTGCTGAGGCCAGCAGCAGGGTGCCAGATCATGAGGAATGTCTTCTTTAATTTGTGTTTATTGGGGTGGTAGAGCAAATAAGCTGAAAATACAGATGCGTAAATCAAAGAGAACAGATTTTGAGACAGACAAACAATATATTTCACATGAAAAAAAAGGAAAGGGTTTATAGGAATTCCTATCTTAAATTAGGATTCATTTTTTTTACTGCAACTGTAATCTGATTTGATTGCAATGTTTTTCTAATCTTTCTCACCATAAACCCAAAAGAGAAAGGCTGAATTAAAATTCCAAAACAACAAATGAGAGGGGGGACAAAATAACTATGAGAAGAATGTCATTTGCTGGTACTGTGCACAAATGTTAACACTGAAAAAAATCAAGTAAGGGCTGAAAAATAGTACCAAATCCCAAAAATTCAGGCCAAGGGCTTACGCAACTGTCTTCTGTACTTAAAAACAATGCCACCGAAGTAATTTTTGTTTGTGCGTGTAGGTGTGGTTGCAAAGGGGATGGGGTTGGGTGGGGTGGAAGTCACAACCACATGGCTCTGATAAAAAAATATATCCTGTGCTTTGTGATTGCTAGATTCTGTGATGTATCTTTCCTGATTTTAATAGTTGTAAGTAGGCCCATCCGCTTCCCTTTGAGCTAGCAGTCCATGTCAATGCTTCATTGTTGTATATTATGTTGCTTTTTCTTAACCACTTCCTCAAGTGGGAGGGTACAAAATAGATCCCTAAAGAGATCTCCCAGCCATCGCAGGCAGCTACGGTAATTGGCCTAAATTGTTCTGTTAATGATTTGATCCATCAGTTTTCTGGACCACTTGCTAGCACTGGGTTTTTATGGTGGAGACATACTGAAGATCTCCTAAGCAAATGTCATCTTGTGGGGGAGAATGACCACATTTCATCCTCAAGGACATCACACGGCTAGCTCAAAGTAGCAAACATGGAATCTGCAAATAATGAACATATGAGTTACTTTGAGAACCAAAAGCAGGTGAACATTTTCTTTACGTATCACTGAGACAAACTAAGGAAACTCCTTCCCTCCTTTTTCCACCATGAGCTCCATGGGGGGAAGCTGGGCAGAGACCTTAGCTGTTTCGCCCAAGACTGATTATGAGCTAACATATGTAAAGCCCTTAAAATCTGTGTTTGGCATATAGGCTCTGAATAAATTAGTTCTCGTTATTCTCAGCACCTAGCATACAGTTGTTGCTTAATGTACGTTGGCTATAGGAATGAATAAAGAACCTACTTCTGTTACGTTCCTATTATCCCGCCATTGGAAAACAAGGATTATGGTCACACAGCTGAGGATCACAATTGCTGTGGCACAAACCCACTACCTGGTACACATTAATGATCAGACTGTCGAAGGGGAAGGGTTGTAGGGGATGGAGAAGAGAGGCAACTCTTGCTGAGTTCCCTCAAAGCCCTAGGACACTACAGTCCAGTTCTCTAAGGAATCAAATCCACAGGCCCGCTCTCTTCCTGCCCTGAAGAGGGGCCTCTTCCTAAACTTCCAGCCCCAGGAATTCCCCTCATCCCAGCTTCAGGGGGCGGGAACAACCGGAATTTTTGTCAGGTCCGCCGCGCCCCGCCCCTGCCCCACAGCCCCGCCCAGCCTGGCGTCCACCACCCCCCTCTCCCAAGGAGCTCCCCTCCCCCAGGAGCTCCCCCAGCTGCAGCCCGCGCCTCGCCGTTCCCTCCCCTCCCCTTCCCTCCCTTCCCCTCCCCTCCCCTCCCTCTCCTTCCATCTCCGCCGACCTACTCCCTCCCGGGCCCAGGCCGTCCGCGCGCGCCGCGCTGTGGGGGGGAGAGAAAGCGGCAACCCGGCGGCTGCTGCGCGGCGGCGGCGGTCTCCCGGGGCACGCGGCCCCGCGCGGAGGGGGCGGGGCCTGGCGGGAGGGGGCGGGGCGGGCAGCCGCTCGGGCCGCACCGGGACTGACGGGCAAGCCGGCCCGCCCCCCGCCAGCTCGCCCGCCCCCTCCAGGGCTGCCCGACGAGTTCGTACCCCCTCGGCCTGGTGCATCCTGACGGAGGGGGAGTGGCCGGCTCCGGGCCGGCCGGCGTCCAGGGTGAGGCTGCCGGGGAGGGGTTGGGGGCGCCCGTGGGGCCGAGCATCCCTATCCCCGGCCCGCTGGCCCCTGCCCCCCGCCTGCCCCCCGCCTCACGCCTGGCCGCCCCGCCCCGCCTTGACCCCCGGCGGCCTCCGGAGCCCGACGCGGTAAGTGCGCCTTCCTGCTCGGCGTCGGGGAGGGGGCCGCGGCGGGCCGGCCGCGCGACGAGGCCCGCTCCCCGCCCCCACGCGACCCTCCCGCGGGGCCTCGGCGGCCGGGGTCCCGCGGGGCCCTCCGGGGCACCTCCGAGCCGAGGGGTGGGTCGGGCGGGGACCTGCCCCAGCCGCGGCCGGGGCTCGAACCCCGGTCCGGCCTCCCGGCCGCGCGCTCCGACTTGGGCAAAGTTGGGCACGCGGTGTGCGGCCGGCCGGCTGAGGCGTGGACTGCGTGGCTTCCTCCCCGCACTCTTTCACTAATAAAACCAACTGGAAACTATTTCGGATTTTTTTTTCCATTGTTGTCCTCAGGCTATCGCAATCTCAGTTTTTCTGTTAAGTAATTGCCTCATCCCGAAGAGTGGAGAATCAGAAAGGGACTTTATATCACTAAAAACTGGCGTGCCTGCCTGTAACTCCTGTGGGCATTTCAGTGCATACTCAGGGATCCAAAGCTGATGAAAAAAGTTTGTGATAGCAGAGTAAAGCATTACTGCCATCTTTACTATCCCATTTGATTTTTACAAATATTTTGGAATAGTTGATACTTTCACAAAATTCAAAAGGTACAAAAGGGATATACAAAGTTTCTCCCCGCCCAGCCGACCAATATTACCAGTTTCTTTTTTTTTTTTTTCAATATTACCAGTTTCTAATTGATCCTTTCAGAGAGAGTGCATATGCAAATGCCCTCGCTTCATTCTTTAAAAAGTGAAACTGGTGTATATTAAGTGCCTGGCAGTTACTGGTACCCAATAAATGGTAATTCTTCTATTGAGAACACAGTTTAATAAGTCGTTTTGGTTATCAGACCGCTAAAAGAACAATAATGACTTTTTTTCTGGTTTTAAGCATTTGCGGATTTGACTGTATTGTGAATGTGTATGTTCTGTTGGTGTCATAACTATGAATACTTTTACACTAAGGTGAATACAGGGATATTTTTGGGTAATGGGGCAGGTAGGGAAAAATCAGTATGAAACTAGTAAGAAGATGGGACTTAATGTATATAACATAGAGTTCCAAGAATGATTTGAAGCCAGTTTGTGTCCATATAGTACAAAGGATAAAACAAAACTAAATGAGAAAATTGAGGCAGAGCCGGAAAAAAGGAAACAAAGTCAAGGGAAAAGATAACAACAAGTGCATACATAGTATAAGATCCTGTACTAAAAGTGAGTCACAGTTTTGGCTCTGGGCTTCACAGCAGCCAGAAAAAAAGGAGGGGGGGCGATAAAGTAAGTTTCAGTGTGTTTCTACTTATAAGATAAAAATCAGTTCTGCCTAAGGAGGGTATTTTCTGGTTATGAAGCCTGAGAAGAGCAGTCTCTCATGGGCACTAATAAAAGGGGAGATTAGATTGAATGATGAAGTTGGCAACATCTTTTAAAAAATCCCTACAGGGGCGCCTGGATGGCTCAGTCAGTTAAGTGTCTGCCTTCACCTCAGGTCATGATCCCAGGGTCCTTGCTCAGCGGGAAGCCTGCTTCTCTCTCTCCTACTCCCCCTGCTTGTGCTCCCTCTCTTGAGCTCTCTCTGTATCAAATAAATAAATAAAATCTTTAAAAAAAATCCCTACAGAAAATAATGAATTTTAGACAGTGTTCTTCAACGTAGGGCAGTAATAAAACTCTAAAGATGTTTTCTAAAGGCTTAACTTGATCTATTCATAATATTTAGAATTACCTAGAAGAGTATTTCCCAAACTGTGTTCTAAGAAATGAGTAATCAATAGTTTATTTCTTGAAATAAGAGTCTGAACTCATAATTTTGAAATAGCTGGGTTAGACAAATTTCAGTAGTTTTTTACTCAATTTCTTGGCTGATGTGAAAGATGATTCTTTTAAAGGAGGTTATTTGGTGACCTTTTACAAATTTATTTGACCATTGAGAACCACTGAACCTATAGAAATGGATGGACAGGCAGTCCTTCACGAAGTTTGATAAAAAATTGGGAGAGCAAAGAGTTTGAGGTTAGCCAATTTGGTAAGAACCGAAGTGAAGAGAATCTAAAAGTCAGAATTTTAAATAGACTGTATGTCAAAGGAAAAGGCTACCTTTCCCCTAAATTCTTAATTCCTCATTGTTCTGCAAGTTGCCTGTTTGACCAAGAGATCTCTAGGATTTCTTCCTGTTCTGTGCTTCAGGGCACTCAGGGTCCTGAATTAGACCACGTTCAGGCAAGTAGAATTGCTTCAATAATGACTTTAATTATTCCTGAATGTAAATATGTGATTAACATAGGTTTTTTTTAAATCACAACATTATTGATACTATTAATTTAGTATCAAATCCTGGAATTCTGTAGCTGTAAGAGACCTTAGAAAGCATGGTACATCTGGGATTGTGCTACTAACATGTAAGGTTGTTCCCAGCAAATTTATGAACCTCCCTGAATCTTTTTCCTTGTTTGTAAAATTAGAATGATAACAGCACACAGTTCATTCAATGGATGTTGAGGGGCTAAGAGGTATTGTAGTAGCAAAACAGCTTTATGGGAACAAATAAAATAATGGATCAAGAATCCTTTACTGTCTAAATTTTTTTTCACTCCTGAGTTCAGATGGCAAGAGTTTGAAAGGCAAGGAATAGCACCTCATCCAAATGTATTTGGTCCCTGAGTTTCAGATAGCAGGTAGTGGGGAGTTGAGAGAATGAGGGATTGGTCCAAAAATGGATCTGACTCCATTTAGTTCCTGTGTTTGGATTTTGAGAGTCTGGATGATGAGGTACACTTCTATAAGAAAGTATTCTTATATAAATAATGCAGTGCTATACAAAATGTTACTATTCTGAAGACAAATTGAAGGCCAGAGCTGTTCGTTGTTTTTACTCCATATATGAGAGAAGTGCTTGTTGAATATGTCAGGTAGGGTAAATTATGCTGTTGTAACAAAAGACCCTCACATCTCAGTGGTTTAGAAAAAGGGTTGTATCTTAGTCACAGGACCATGTCCAAGTAGGGTCAACGGGAGAATTCTGTTCCAGGTAGTCGTTTGGAACACCAGTTTATCGGAGGCTCCATCTCAACACATGCTTCCACAATTGTTAGGGTGGGTGGGGGGGAAGGAGGTGATGAATTGTACCTTGGCTCTTAAAGGCTTCTACTTGGAAGTGACACGTGTAACTTCCGCTAACATTTTAATGGCCAAAGAAATCATATGGCTACACCCAACTTCAAGGAAGTTGAGAGATGCAATTCTGTCATGTGCCCAAAAGGAGAAGAACTGGAATAGTCTGCACTAAGCAGGCTTTATAGTCTCATGAATTAACAAAATATCTGAATAAATGAAATCCAAATTATGCTTTTAGTATTTAGAGCACAGAATGCAGCATTTTTGGGTGTATGTATGTATGTTTAATCATAGAATTATGCTAATGAGAATTGCAAAGAGTATTTTTTATTAATTGGAAATGAAATGCTTTTGAAGACTCCGTAATTAGACATACTATTTTGACCAAGTGGATTTCATTCTTTTCTAATTATATGTTCATTCAATAAACATTTATTCTTTTCATTCTATAAACATTTAAATGTGTTAAATGTGGTGTGTATAAGGCACTATGTTAGATCCTGTGAGAATAAAAAGATGAATGGGAAGTTTACAACCCCAAATAAAATAGTTGAGTTCTCCTCTTTAAAACAACATTAACAGAATCTTTCACTATGATAGAACCTGATCATGTATACACTTTGCTCCAACCACTGTTTTTGGGTTAGGGATTTTTTTGGTGACAAATTAAACTAGCTTAAGCAAAAAGAGTGTTGTTAGAAGAAGGATATAGCTTTATGTCACAGAGTCCAAGAGCAGGGAATACAGCTCAGTCTCAGAGGCAACTGACATCCATAACAGAAAATTAGGAGCCAGAGAGGTACCTGGGTGGCTCAGTCGGTTAAGCGTCTGCCTTCAGCTCAGATCATGATCCCAGGGTCCTGGGTCTCCCTTTCCCCTCTGCCTCCCCCTGTGCTGTCTCTCACTTTTTCTCTCTCTCAAATAAATAAATAAAATCTTAAAAAAAAAAAAAAAAGGAGCTGGAACTGCTTTCCTTCACATCTCTATGATATCTTGCTAGTGTCTCTCCGGGAGATACTTCATTCCTCTTTTTCTCTGTTGACTGATTCTCTATATTTTGCTTTTAAATGGGCGTTTTAACCTAAGAATTCACACACTTAAAGGAAACCTACTAGAGCCTTTAGCAAGTCCAGTGCCACATCTTGGTTAGTTCTTCAGTTAACCACAATCAGAGTTTGGAAATAATGGAGTTGCCCCTAAAGTATAACAAGGTAGGGTATCCGGCAACTTTGTAATAGAGAAGGAGGCAGTTCTAATAGTTTGGGATTAAAAAAAGCTGTGATGCCATTGAAAGTTCTACGACACAGTTAACATCAGCTTGCACATTCTATTGGGGCACGCTGGTTAGGGTAATGGGGTGAGAAGGTAGAGTTGGAGCACTTGTGGCAACACTGTCCCTTACCTGAACCACTGGTAAATGCCATCCCCTTTGTAATCCTTTCCTCCATCCCTCCTCCCTCCCCCAAGGTACAGATTACTGAATTGTCTAACTTTTACAAGTCACCTGCTTTTAATGCTGATGCGCAGGGCTCCCTGGCTTCCCCCCACGGCTGATGCGGAAAAGGGGGAGCATTCGATATACTGCCTTGCTCTGCTCTTTTCTACAATTGGTCTAGACACTCTGTCTAAACATTTTACACTTTAACGTGCTATTGCCACATCTCTCCTCCAACTTCAACCTATTTTTTTATTCTCAGTAAATTTCCATTCTTTTTCGGCAAGTGTGTACACTTAGCTTCTCTTAGGAAATTTCCTTGCATCCTTTACCTAGCCAATATCTCCTTTCTCTCTGGTTGCAAATACCCATAGCTTCATCTCAGCAGATGGCTGAAGGGATGGACTAAAGGGGGGTAGTATATGTTACCTGGAAGACGGGCT